TTCATCGAATTTATTTTTGTTCCTAATTGTTAAGCCTGTAACCGTTAGTAAAGTAAAGTAAAATAACAGCCTATACATATCCCGCTGCTGGGCAAGGGTCTCCTCTTTTTTACAGAGGATATCAGGGCATAGTCCACCACGCGGCCTCACTGCGGATTGGCGAACTTCACATCTCTTCGAAAATATGCAGGTTTCATTCATCACGATGTTTTCCTTCACAGTTGAGAATGTGATAAAGTAAAAAAAAAATTAACAGTTTCATTGGTGCTGGCACCGGGGATCGAACTCTGTTGCTAGAGTATATTGAATTAAAGGCGAGCGCCCGGACACTGAGCTATCACGCCTCAAGACCGTTACCGTTAATCAGGTCCAAATATGAGACATTAATTTTTGCACGTAAGAAATTGGTATAATAGCAAATCGTTAGCCTCTTGAATTTATCCACGACCGGACTGTAATATAATTAATGACTATAATATAACTGGACTATAATATAATTAATGAAAAAATACAATATTTTGAAAAGACGCTTAGGCGGCTTAAGAATAGCAATTTATTGGGTTTTGCTTATTAATGATTTTTAAGTTAATTTGATTACCATTGTATAATAAAATTAAAGTTAAAAACCATACACACATCATTAAAAATACAACGTTACAAATGAACGGTTTCCCACTGACACTCAATTATCCTGCGTTTGGCGTTTTTTCGCTTTTCGCTTTTTTTTCGCTTTACCTAATTTCCGGGCAAAAATTTGTTGCACGCTCGATAGAATAACAATCGCTTAAGCAGACGAAGTGATATATATTCGTATTTATATATTAGTTTTTGTTATTTTCAACCGGCTTAAAAAAAGGAGGAGGTTCTCAATTCGACTGTATTTTTTTTATGTTTGTTATCTCAGCAACTTTCTTACGTTTGTTATTCAGGCTGAATGAACCGATTTTGATGATCCTTTTTTTATTTGAAAGCTGGTGCTGTGTCATTGGACTCCGGAGATACTTAGGGAACTCCTGAAAAACAATTATAATATGAATACAGAGCGAGACATTTGAAGCAAGCTAGGTTTTTCCCCCACGATCTCCCGCCGCCGAAGCTAAGGGCTTGTCGACTGTTTACCATTGAAAACAATTCCTGTGCTAAAATTTCGCTCGATTCAAAACCTGGCCTAAACGTCCTCGGCAAATTTTACGTCCATAATACGTAGTTTCACGCGTTGTCCTCATGCCAACGTGCAATCGAGCTCGACAGTTGATAGCATAGTTACATAAAGATATATTACAGATTAATAATATCTCGAAGAATTAATAAAAACTGTCCAAGTGCGAGTCGGAATCGCGCACGAAGGGTCCCGTACCATCATCTATATAATAGCAAAAAAATCATTTCTGTTACCGGAGCCCCACTTAAATATTTTTAATTTGTTTTTTTGGCAACAGAAATACATCATCTGTGAAAATTTCAACTGTCTAACTATCACGGTTCACGAGGTACAGCCTGGTGACAGACGGACAGACAGACAGATAAATAGCGGAGTCTTGGTAATAGGTACCCTATTACTTACATTTGGGGTACGGAACCCTAAAATATTTGTCCTTAAACTGTTTCATTAGCGGCGGTCCGCGCGTCTCGTTAATGCCATCTGCGACACCGGAGCAAATCGAAATGCTTGGTTATTTAATAACAAGAAATAAATAGTTGCACCCATTAGGGCAGCGATATTCAATTAATATAGCAATAGGCCGACGTTTATGGCGTTTTTTATTTAAATAGCAGTGCCTTGTTTACATTAAAAGTGGAGTGCTAATGTTACTTGTTATTTATTGATGCTATGCCAAATATGTGCAATGTATCTTAAAATGACGAGAGTTTATATAAAAGTTTATATGTAAATTTAAATATGCAACTCTATAATACATGTGGGATTTCTTACTTTAGAATTTCTTCTATGCTATTATATAATAGGTACACTTCTGGAAATTTGCAACGTAGAGATTTTAAAAATATGTACGGATTGATATACCAATTAGTAATATATTTCTCGATGATGATAATGAGATGACGATGATGATTAATAATAAAGGCGTTATGTGTATCCTACGGTATGCAATATCATAGGAAATAATTAATTTCTCTTATGCTAATACTTATAATCTCTTCTCTTCTGAGAGTCGAGTCCCTCCCTTATAATTCTGTAGCGATTTCGTCTTAGTCACAGACTATTAAACAAATTTCGCGATGCACAAAACTGAACGCAGTAAAAATCAATTTGGAGCGAAATCCAAGCCCAAATTCCAGTGTCCGAACGGGCCCTGTATAAATGTCAAGCGACAAGTGGTCGCGTTACTTTTTTTTATTATTATTTGTCACACCAAAACGCTTCCTGCTCCGCCCAGGTGATCAGCGGCTGCCGCCATCAGTGTGACATTGCAGACATAAATAGCTACAGAAGTGTCGCTCGCAATTACCGTATTGATAAATAATATTAATTTGCTCTGCGTAGATGTATTAGAGAATATATTGCGCCTGCGGAAGTGACGCTTATGGAAAATCTTTACAATTGACAGGAGACTTCATATATATTCTATAAAATGATTGAAACTGGGACCGCACAAGAGACACCGAGACAAGGCATACTGAATTATACGATAAACTTTATTTTTATGCGAATATTATTCGTACATTGTGATATACAATAACTTTACTAGTTCTTTTCTCGCTCAAAGGTTAAGCATAAAGGCCTATTTACACAGTGCAAGTTTCTTGCCTGTTATATACAATTAAATTGAAGCAATAAATGAGTTGCATTGTCTAAACAACAAATGGTCTAAACAATTATTGCGCGCAATTTATTGCATTCAATTATTGCTCTTGTATGTTCAAGAAAATGGCATCGTGTAAATGGGCCTTAACTATTCAGCGAGGAAATACAGCTAGCGTTATTGGCACCATGCCGCGTGGATTAGGTTTATTAGATAATATGTAATTTTAGATAGTTTTAATCTTGTAAATATTAGAGAAATAAATATGAACAAAATTGTACTTTACTGAGAAAATTTTTTAACAATCAAAATTAAACATAAATAGATACTAAAAATGTGAACGGTTGTATTAACAGGTTCAACAAACCTATTCTTCTTTCCAATCCAGCTTAGAAGCAACGGATTGAATGATAGATAAATAAATTGCATTACTAATAAGTAAAAGGTCTATCCCCTTACTGCTCATAAAATGAAACAAGAAAAGAGAACTTTAAGAATGATTCCGAAAAGGAGAAATTACAAGGAACTTGATATCGCGAATCGATATTGTTCTTACTTCTTCTTTAAAACATTCTCCGTTGCGTTTTTAATAAACTTTAAAATATTTAATAACAGTGATGCTTGACAAAAAAAAAACAAAGTTTGTGAACCTGGCCGATATATGCCGACCGAAATTATTCGGAGTGTCGTATCTGCGCATCTTAGATCTGCGGCTTTGAGACTGACCATTACTGGAACAAATACCAAATTAAATATTATACACAGGGCCGGATTTAGGGGACGGCAACCGTGGCTATAGCCCCGGGGCCCCCACAATAGAGATTATATTTATATGTTCGTTAAATAACAAAAAAAATCTATACTTTCTTTTACAATAAATTATTTATTGTAAAACTCGACTGAAAAAAATTTTTCATTTTATTTGGAAAATAATTTAGGGCCAAGGGGCCTCAATTCCTATGTTGCCCCGAGGCCTCCAGACCTCTAAATCCGGCCCTGATTATACATTTATATAATATACTAACCAGAAGAGCACTCAATATGAATATTCGAAAACGTAATTGTCTTGTGTTGTAAACGTAATCTAATTCTAATTTAATTGTATGCACGCTTACTTTATGTACCAACCAAAAATATGAAATAGACATCAATGGCCGATGTTTCGAAATCTTTATTTCCATCGCAAAAAATTCAACGTTCGTTCAAAAATTACCTTTGTACGAAAGCACTGAACAATATACTCTAGGAAAATATATTACAATTAATTAATATTACAATTAATTTATAGGTTTAACGCTATAACCAATACGGATGATCTAAATCCCTTTGATAACCTGAGAAGTACAAAAAAAGTATTTTCAACTTTATTCTAAAACGTATATAAGACAAATGAAACATGAATCTATTTGATTGTAACTATACTGATTGAAAACTATTACTTTCATGCTTCGAAACATTATTTTATGTCATAGAAGGCAGAGGCAAATTTACAAGTATGAATTTTTGTGTATTATACAGTTAAATAGAACCTGTGAGAATTTTAAAGTGGAAATATTACGAAATATTGCAACAAAAGTGATCGACTTTAATCAAATATCAAAAGGGCTTGTCCTTTGGTGTCCTTCCTCAAAATAATCTGATGCATTGCCTACGCAACAGAGTCACAAGAATGTTTGGATGCGTATCATATTGCTCATTGTTTTTATTAGGCAATAATAAAAACATTCAGCCTTAAAACGTTGCATAAAGTGTCGGTTAGGCTGGGAACTGAACGGAGGGCCTTGCAACACGGTCGTCATACGAAAACTTGAACAATTACTTTCGCCATTTCTTAGAGAATAAAGAAAAAGAAGTTACAGCCTGTAATGTTCCACTGCTGGGCAAAGGACAGACCCCAGAATAATACAAAAAATATTAAAATATCGTGAGGTGGGTAGGCCCAAACAGAATTAGCATAGTCCAAAACAGAAAACTTAAGTACGCACATACAAATAGCGCGTGCCTTCTTACCCCAAAACAAGAAAGGCCTTGAAAAATTCATATGTCAGTTAGCAAAATGGCTGTACATGGGCGACTCTACCCTTTACAATGTCTCGTCCAAAGTCAAGTACTATATGGTATCAATGATTACCGGCCACTTTCAATATTAACTTCATGCTCTCTACGGACGTATAAAAGACCTAGCGCAGCTTTGGACAGTATTCAGTAGCTATCGAGCAGTCTGACAAGAAGTGCAAGATGAGATTTCTGGTACGGACACAATTTCAGTACACCACTTTTCAACTAACTGTAGTGACGGAACGCGGCGCGGTGTTCGAAATTTGAATTTCCCGGGCATTGCGAATACAGTGGACTTTATTTCTCAAATCGCTATAATTCGTTCCTAACCTAGCCGTGTTCCATAATCACTGTTATAATGAGCTTTATCACGGTAAATTTTATAGTCGTTTTTGTGCAAATCGTCACTTATTACTGCGACAAGGTTGCTTGTATTTTGATTAACTAATTTTTGCTTTTTTATGCACCTACGTTTTAATGAGTGTCAATAATATTGCTTAATTGCGGTCTTTAATCTATTATTAGATTACGTGTAATAGGTTGTGTAATTCAATAGGCTAAAGTATCGCGGTGATTTTCACATATTTCCGCTCCATTTACTCTCATATCGGGATTAGTGCATGTTTTCGAGGTATAAATTACGCGTCTAATTCTTTAGTGTTGGAATACAAAGTTGAAACATATATGAATTCAGGTTATCGAATAAGATTAAGGTATTTCAAAGCCTTAACCGCTTATTTAAAGTATAAAGATCTTGCATCATTTACAAACAGCGCGGAACAAGAAATACTCGTAAGTAATAATGGTGAAAATGTTTATATAATCTTTAAGCTGTCAACATCTTCACAGCCTCCGAATTTGCAAAGAAAAGCCATATTTTTCGTAACCGATACACGCGTGCCATAACAATAATCGTCCAAATTTCTTGATCCCTCCATAATAGAACTGCATTGTATTATCGTCGCCGCTTCATTGGAAAACAGTCCTTATTCCATAGTGTAAAAAGACTACATTAAGAAGTGTAATGCGCTAGTAAGTTAGCAAACGTAGGCCAGTGGACAAAAGACAACTTTTAACGGTCAGAGACGTGCGCTGCGTACAAAATGCCCCCGCAACAGTCAAGGGTAATACACAATTGGACCGAGTGAGTCGTTTCCGAATGTAAACTGTCCAAGTACAGTCAACAACATATTCAAGTAAAGTCATCGGCTAATTTAATGAGACGGGCACCTTACAAACATTACTTTGCTTTTGCATTGGTTTGCTGTCTTTACGTCTAAAAAGACCGAATTTTTCCTAAAGTTAAAGCTTGTATATGTCTCGTGTGTTATTTGAATATCCAAAAACTTCTTGTATTTGGTGTCCTTCTACTTTACTTTAACCCACCTCTAGTACCGCGGAATAAATATCTTCTAATAATAATCAAAAGCAATATTTAAAATCAATCACTTAACAATGTACCTGTTTCTATGTCAAGACCATTAGTACTAAATATTACAAGCGAGGCATACTGTCGAGCGATTACATTCAATTATACTCAAGTACTGGGCGCGGTCGGAATAATTTCGGTACGCATAATGCCTTCGCAGGTAAACGCGTCTAAACCTGATACTATCGCGTCAAATAATTCTGTCCTTAATGACTAATAAGAAACTGGAAAACGTTTATATCAGAATATGAACTTAACTCGTGTCTAAAGTGCTACATAAAGTAACGAAAATGATTTAATGACAAAGGGATAGACGTTTGTTTACTTGACGCACAAATCATTCTTTTCGATTTAACCAATAACAAATCCTTAACGCTAACATACTTTGTCGACATGGTGCTAGAATTCTAGGAAGTAACATTTGAAATTTGGAACGAATTATAACCTAAATATAAGGTTCAACAATAATCGACCATTGACGCGAGCGATACGCAGAATCAATGCATTGCAAAATATCCGAACACCCGGTAGAGTGCACAATGGACATGTCGTTAATTACCGATGCTAATTGAATTTATACATTGGCGTTTTGCACGATGACTTTCACGCGGGTTTGCTCAATCTTTTGCCACTTGTAAGGCCACTAATTTAGGAAAAATACAAAAAAAATCATAATAATAGTATTCGTAATAAAATTAATCGCTGTACGAACACTAGACTCATAATTAAATTTAAAGTTTGTTATAATTTATATTAGGTAATGGAGCTCGGAGTCAGCCTCGTTACTAACGACTTAAGCAATAGTATAATATACTATTGTTTTCCTAAATAAGCGGGCCCAATGAGTTTCTTTCGCGATAGAAGCTCGCATATTTTAATTCTAATAGCGGATGTTTGTTAGGAATACATTAACGATAAATACTTTGATAATTAATTCTTCCATCCGCTAAAGGCCTGATTAAAGGTAAACTTTCATAAAGAACATTATGGCCGTCTATTTAAGTGTATATGATATTTATCCAATCAAGTCACTGAGTCCTCATCAACTAGATGACACCAAAATATTATAAGTATACAATATTATTGGCGTAATTAATTACCACCCAAGATTTCATTTTACATTTATTACCTTTAATAAAAATAAATAAACATTTATTACCTAAATTGGTGACTCTAAGACAAGGTAGGCACAATCCTAAGACACGACAACCTATACCAGACATAATAATAACCGAACTATCAATTTCCACCAGATCGCTTTCGCCGCCGTCCTCGGCTACGCCTCTGCTGGGCTCATCGCCCCCCTGGTCTACGGTGCCAACGCCGGTGACGTCCAGGCCGCCGCCATCGACGCCACCGTCGCCGCCCAGGACAACGCGCGCGCGCTCGGCGAAGGCCAGGCCCGCGCCGCCGAGGCGGTCCTGCAGGCGAACACTGAGGCAGTGCGCCAGGCAGCCGAGACCTCCCGGGACCTCCACGAGAACGCCTACTGGGGAAGCGTTGCCGCGTCGCAGAACTATGTAGCCGCCGCCCAGTCCCAGGCCGCAGCCCTTAACGGAGCCGCTTCTGCCGTCCGCGCCGCACAACTGGCCGTTCCCGCCGTTGCACCCCTCGGCTACGCCGGTTACGGACTCCGCTCCGCCTACGGACTCTCTCCCTATGGACTCGCTCCCTACGGACTCGGCCTCCACGCTTGGTAAACACGCGATCGTCGGTCGTTAGTCGCGGCGTTTGGCAACGTCAAATGTCGCCATTAACGGCGCTATTGGCAGTCGGGCTGAATCGCGCCTGGCAACGTTGGCGTGCTTAATTGCGCCGATGTTGCCAGACACGCCGCGTGCCCCTTTAACACTACACCGCTCAGCCTCATATGGAAACCGATTGCTCAATGATAAAAACAAACAAAGGTCTCAATAAGTAACTCTCTTTGTAAATACAAAATATCTCATGCCATCACTGCCAAAGTGTAAATAAAACACATTTTATACAACACGCCGCATTTTTAGTTAATTTACCCACGACCAGTCATGACCTGTTGTAACGAAAATTGCAAATGAATTGTAATTATAACCTACTGTATCAGGATCTCCTAGCCAAAAAAACTTGTCTAATCAACATCTATCATTCGATAACAACGACGCATCTAGCCAGTGATTTTTAATACAATATTTATACTAAACAACACAGCTATAATACATTGCCAATAGGTGATTTTGCAAGTCTATCAATATTTGAAAAAAAGAGAGATAATTAAACTATTTTTATTTGGCATTGTTATATGATTTCAAAAAATAGGGAAATTCCAAAAGTGTATTATTTTTAGTCATGTCCGTATTAATAATTTACAATAATAAATAATATCATATTTACGCCTTGAGATTTTCGAAATACAGTTTATATCACCTAAGTTTGTTTCGTTGAAACGATCATATAAGAAAATTACCTATTGAGATAAATATGGTTTCGCAATAACAATTGCAGTTAACTAACCAGAGAGACATTAATACAAATAGAAAAACAAAAACCTAAAACGTAATTAACTAAATAATAATTCTCTTACGAAATATAACTTTGTCGCCACAATTTTAAAAATATTTTTGTGTCAACAACACTATCTGATTAAGTAAAACCGTTGACGGTTTGTAAAAATCAATATGCGAATGAGACTTAAAAGTTATCGAAGAAAGGTTCCCGAAATAAAAAAAAAATTGACATTGATGACTCCGTGGCGCAGTTGCCTAGGTATTGGCTTCGGCGTCGGGGGTCGTTGGTTCGATTCCCACACGGGACAACTATTTGTGCTGCCCACAGATAGTTGTTTCGCATCTGGGTGTTTGTCCTCGTTCAATTCATGTTTGTAAAACGTCCTTACAACACAGGATAATGTTATCCTAAAGTGAGGGCAATGTTTTTAAACAAAAGCTAAAAAAAAAAGCTGAAGCTAACCTTTGTTAGCTTTACTTTTAGACTTACCTATTTTTTTTATTTATTTTATGCGAAAAGTTGTCAAACGAGCAGACGGTTCACCTGATGTTAAGTGAATACCGCCGCCCATGGACATCTGCCACACCCGAGGGTTACAGATGCGTTGACAACCTTTTGAAAATTGGGCTCCAGCTACCTCACTCACCAAACGAAACGCGAAAGTATTTGTCATACTTCCACTTTACGCTGGTCTTCTGTGAGGTCGTGGTACTTACCCGGATGGGCCTGCCCATTCGTGCAACAGCCGAGGCTGCTGCGTGGCCCTACCACAGTTACCTTGCCTTACATCATTAAAAATGTGTCCTTCCTACTTTAAAAATTCTTCACATGAGTTACAGTTGCCCAGCCGTATTTAACTCTATAATTATGATGAGTCGTTTAAATAACTATCATCTATATTTCATTACATTTCAATCTATTTACAAGGTCTGAAACGATTATTTGTAGACCGGCAAAACAAACACTTTCCCTTGAAGGTGTTGTTACTAGTTGTTTGACGCCAAGTGTACGACACACTACAACTAGCCAAGCCACCGGAGCCAATTAATAATGAATTTGATATATAAAGCATGGAAACATAATAAGTTTTTAGATCGAGCCACCGCGAATTAAGTAGGCAATACAACGCAAAAAACGTTTCATAACAAGGTCGTACAGGACAGTACTTTAAACGAAATTGTCTTGTTATGGCGTTTCTACGAATGAACTTACGACAAGGAAGTGGCTAGTTGATATGTTTCGTATGGATTAATAAACGTATCAAAGTGTATTTAAATAAAATAATTATAACCTAAAACAACACTCTGCAGAACTGATTAGTGTGCATTTTCACAAATTGTTTTCTTGTTACTAATGTAATGACACAGATATAATACAGACGTTTCTTCTATGATAGAACTAACGAATAGGAAGTGACCAGTTGATATGTTATGGATGCAATCTATATATACATAAAAGTGATTAAGTGTTCTAAAACAGAACTTAAAAACGATATCAGCATTTAATTTTTAGTGTTAGTCCTAGCACACGAAACTTAAAAATAATATAATGGATAAAACTAAATCTCAATAACAAAGGCGGCACATTCTAATCATCAAAAACTCATTGTAAAAATGAAATATGAGAAAGTATCCGTAAGTATGCTGTAAAGCTTGCTGAAAAGGCAATGAAAATAAAGGAGATAAAGATGTTGAGATTTTCGCGTTATAAGGATGTCGATCTTTTAGCTTAGTGGTTAGAGCGTCTGGACTCGTAATTCGGAATGCGCAGGTTTGAATCCTAGCAACGGCGAAATTTTTTGCGATAGTGTAATCTACACATTTAGGGTATATAAGATACCAAAAAGCAATAACATAAACACACCTATCAAAACCCTACTGCAAAATAATGATATAGTATAATTATAACGTAAAACAATATACCGCAGGATTGATTAGTGTTCAATTCACACAATGGTTTTTCCAATTAATGTCCAACGCTGTAAATGAAAAAGTAGATTTTGACAGAATCTTTAATTTTTTCTTTCATCTATTTCTTCCATCCTTTCCTGCCCATGTCCCATGTTAAGTGGAGTCGGCAAAAGATGTCCTACCCTTACACTATATCAACCGTTATCTGAATACTCACCCCTTTTACGGGCATATAATTCTTTACACGGTCCATCCAAATCTTTCTCGGTAATCAACGCTCTCCTAGTTATATTCTTTTCATCCCTTTCCTTGAGGTTGCCATACCACGTCAGCCTACCATTTCATATCTTCCCTTTCCTAATATACTGATTACAATTCGTACCCATTCTCAGTCACACCGCGTATCAATCTCAATATTAGCTTATCTCAGCCGCATGCATTATTCTTCTGTCCAACACTCCGACCCATATACATTATGGCTAGTCTCTAAAACGTCTTATAAACCTTCACCGTGAGTTTTAGGGGAATTCACGGGTCTAATCTAACTAACCTGCACCTATCCTTTTAAGCCGTGTTGTTTTAGATATTGACCCGTTTTTATAACCGGACGCCTGTTTGACCTACACCCTTATTGAGTACGCTAGCGATAGGATTTGAGTAAGGCAATGACGAGATTTGAGACGAAATAAGTGTAAGAGTACACCTTAAAATAATATCAAAAGCGCAGTGCATATGTCCTTTGGCATCCTTTCACAGCCTAATCTGATAAACAAGTGACAATGCCTGTGCAATACGTACGCAATAGCGTCACAACATTGTTTGGTGCCTGACACATTCCTTATTGTTTTCATGAGGTAATAATAAAACACTCAAACTTAAAAGGTTGCATAAAATGTAGGAATTTAACGGAGGACCTTGCAAATCGCTCGATGTACGCACACTAGACCATTTACTTTCACCATTTCGCACAGAATTATACATCAAAATATCAAATAAAAGAGAATTTGAAACGTTTTCCATGCCCTGAAATATTAATAGTAATAGAGGATCAATATGAATCACATTAGTCCAAATAAACTAGCAGAAAAAACACAAAGCCTAAGTCAGGCGTTTAGGGTGAGTTATCCCAAAACAAATAAAATTCTTATATCAGATAGCGAAATGATCATCCATGGGTGACTCTATCCATTACAATGTCTCTTTCAAAGTCAAGAAGTACTATATGGTATCAATGATTACCTGCCACTTTCAATATCAACTTCATGCTCTCTACGGACGTATAAAAGACCCAGTGCAGTTTCGACAGCATTCAGTAGCTATCGAGCAGTCTGACAAGAAGTGCAAGATGAGATTTCTGGTACGGGCACATTTTCTGTACACCTATTTTAAGTACTTATGGTGGGGGAAAGCGGAGCTGTGTTTGTAATGTGAATTTGCCGCGCATTAGCATTAACAACGAACTTTTTTTTCTTAAATCTTTACGTTTTGTTTGTAGATTCACGTTTATTTTTAATTCCCGGAGTTTGAACTCTTTATAGCGTTAATGGTCACGATACAGACAGAGGCCTAAGGCGTCTGAACGTTTGTCAGCCCGGGCTATAGCCAGTTTTTAATTTATGTCAGATGTCTTGTCTAGCAGTAGTGGTTCTTTTGTTTTGTTATATATTAGAATTTTATGCATAAGAGTAGCTGTGATGGCTCAGTCCCAGTGCGCTCGCTTTTAATTCGGTAAACTCGAACAACCTAGTCAAATCCCGGTATCGGCATAAATTAAATTGTTCATTTTATTAATTATTGACGTATCACGTGCTCTGTTGTGAAGAAAACATTTTTGAATCCCGGATATTTTGAAAATTACAATTTAACAAGAAAAGGGGAAATGTTAATTCTTACCGATGCTGAAGGAATCGGCGTTTTCGAGCGCAGAAACCATACGAGGTTTTGCTCAATCATACGTATCCCTTACAACAATGCGAACAAAGAAATACATTCAACAATAGTTCTCGTAATAAAATGAATCTCTGCGCGAACACTAGACACGTAAGTTAAATATAATTTATATTAATTACTGGAAGTCTAATTTAGTCTCTCAATCAACTTAAGAAATTGAAAAATATATATTTTTTTTGTATAATAGCAGCCTAATTTCCCTAATGAATTTTATTTCCCTATAATATCTGGATGTTCGTTATGTCTATGGGCGAAAGTGAACATTTACTATCACGTGGCCCGCCAGCCGTTTGTCTCCTCTTCCGTAAAAATTATTGATAAATATAAAGATAATCAAGTCTTACGTATGCTTTTAAAGGCTAATTTAAGAGCAATCTTGCACGAAGAATATTCCTAGGCATTCTAAACCAATGTAACGATGAAGAGGTTTTGAAATGTAACAAATTTTATCACATCAAAAAATAAAAGCATTCAATAAATTAAATTAAAATTAAATACTCACAATTCATTTTAAAAATTCCATAGATCATTCACTATACCTATCAACAACTTGACGATACTAAACCAAGGCAGGCGAAACCCTAAGACACGACAGCCTACAGCATACAAAGTATCAATCGAACTGTCAACTTCCACCAGATCGCTTTCGCCGCCGTCCTCGGCTACGCCTCCGCCGGGCTCATCGCCCCCCTGGTCTACGGTGCCAACGCTGGTGACGTCCAGGCCGCCGCCATCGACGCCACCGTCGCCGCCCAGGACACCGTACGTGCGATCGGTGAAGGCCAGGCTCGCGCCGTCGAGGCCTCCCGGGACCTCCACGAGAACGCCTACTGGGGAAGCGTAGCCGCGTCGCAGAACTATGTAGCCGCCGCCCAGTCCCAGGCCGCAGCCCTTAACGGTGCCGCAGCTGCCGTCCGCGCCGCACACCTGGCCGCCCCCGCCGTAGCACCCCTCGGCTACGCCGGTTACGGACTCCGCTCCGCCTACGGACTCGCTCCTTACGGACTCGCTCCTTACGGACTTGGCCTCCACGCTTGGTAAACTCGCGATTGTCGGCTGTTAATTGCGGCGTTTGGTAACATCAAATGTCGCCATTAACGGCACTGTTGGCAGTCACCACCACACCGCTCAACCTCTTATGGAAACCGATTGCTCAATGACAAAAACAAACAACGGTCTCAATAAGAAACTCTCTTTGTAAATACAAAATATCTCATGCCATCACTGCCAAAGTGTAAATAAAACACCTTTTATCAACATGCCACATTTTTTGTTTATTTACCCACGCCTTGAAGTCCTGATGCAATGAAAATTGCAATTGAAACGTATTTATAACCTACTATGCTCATGATTTCTTAGCCAAAAATACTTGTCAATTAAATATATATTATTCGATAACGAGTCATCTAGCCTGTTGATTTGAACTATATAATAAACAACACATTCATAATAAATTGCCAACTGGGTGATATAGCAATTTTATAAACCGTTGTATTTAAAAAAAAAAAACAGACAATTTGTTTGAGTTCAACTTTACACTTACACTTACACTACAAAGGTTATTTGTCATGTTATGTAATTTCTACACAAAATACGCAATTTCCTAAATTGTATAATCTTGCCATGCTTATGTCAATTAAATAATTAGTACTGCAAATAATACCATCTTTACGTCTTCAGATTTTCGAACGACAGTTTTTTACTATCCAAGTTTTTTCTGTCGGAGCGATCATAAATAATATGTAATCCATGTGTATATTTCATCTGTACTAGTGGTCACCCAGTGGTGGAAAGTCGACCATAATTAATTATACATAGCAGATTGTGTAACGTTTTAACTTTATGCATAATTTTACCCCTTCTCTATATAAACTGTAAGTGTAGAAATTTTGATACTCCTTAGTCCGCGCAATTATACGTAAAAATGGGTACAAAGGTTTTTGCTTCACATATTGATATAAAAATAGTAACTCATATTTATTGAGCTTTCTATTACATTATAAAGTAGACATGATCCGATTATTTATGGAATAAAATATCGGACAAATGGCCACCGCGGCTTTCATGTCAGGCCATTTTTCATGAAATTTTCCATCACTTTTTCACAAAGATTTGGCCGAATATCATCGATGCCGCTTTGGATCTCGGCCTTAAGCTCAGGAATTATTTCTGGTTTATTATGTCAAGTCATAATGTCAAGATTTCACATAACCCTAATGAAAGAAATCGCACGACGTTAAATCGCATGATCTTGATGGCAAGTTGACATTAGAATTTCGAATTGCGCTCGTTGTGGATGCATTTGTTTTTCATGGATTGCTCGAGGATTCTCTAAGCCCCAAATTCGACAATTTTGTTTATTCACAAAGCCATTAATGGAAATGTCCTTCATCGGTGAAGATGACTTTGGAAAAATCGGCACTCACTTCACTTTGCTTCATTACCCATTGAACGAATTGCCGACGCTTTGTATGGTCTCCTAGTTAAAGCTCTTGAGTGATTGGTGCGCGCGAAGATAGAGGTCTTTCGTAAAAATTCACTGCATAGTGGTTCGTTTAATTTGAAGTTGTTGAGAACGATGCCAAATTTATGTTTCCGACCGGTATGTCGGTAGCTGTAAACGAGTGTCGCTGAAAAGCCGAAAACATATGCAAAGGAGAGTGACTGTCCATAATAGACCCAGTTTCTTAATTAAATTTTATGACCACTATTTCAAATTAGGTGCCAAAAATTCCACGAACTTTGCGAGCAGTCTCAACATAACTTTCACCATTTTTGTAATGAGTTTTCACAATAAAACCGTCTTGTTCTTTAGTGAAGCCCTCCATTTTTTGGGGTTCCGTACCCAAAGGGTAAAATGAGACCCTATTTCTAAAACTATCGCTGTCTGTCTGTCTGTCTGTCCGTCTGTCACCAAGCTGTATCTATTTTTCTAATTAATGTCCAATACTGTATACAGTAATCAAATTATAGAGAGATTATATTTACCCCAGTAGAGTATTTAATTGTTACTTTCATCTTTATCTTTCATCTTTCTCCTGCCCTTGTCTCACGCTAGGTGCATTCGGCACAAGATGTCCCTTTCGCTTTCATTATATCAGCCCTTATCTGAATACTCATCTCTTTTACGGACATATAATTCTTCACACAGTACATCCAAACCTTTCTCGGTCTTCCTCATGTCAACTTCTGAGACCTGTCGCCATATAATCTAACCCTTTTAACCCATGTTGTTTTATTTATCAACTCGGTTTTAAGATCGAGCGGCTGCCTCACATCAACCCTTATTGAGTACTCCAACCTTAGGCCTTGGGTGAGGAAACGAGAATTTTGGGACGGAAGTCAAACCTATAACATCATATGTACGCCATAAAACAATATCAAAACAGATAATTTTAAAAATAATATCAATTGCAAAGAAGTCCAAATCCTTTGGGATCCTTTCACGACCTAATCCGAAAACAACTGACAAAGTCTGTGCTATACCTACGCAATACAATCACAAGATTGTTTGGATGTCTGTAATATTCTTTTCTGTTTTCACGAGGTAATACTACAACAGTCTTAAAACATTGCAACAAATGTCGGTTAGGCTGGGAGCTGATCTGTCTGTCGCCATTTCACACATAATTACACATCAAATTTTTAAAATACGAAATAAAAAAAGAACTTGAAACGATTTCAATATGTTGAAATATCGTTATGATTAATTTTAAAAAGGTTAAGTAAAAAAGTAAAGTAACAGCCTATACATGTCGCACTGCTGGGCAAAGGCCTCCTCCATACAGAGGGTATCAGGGCATAGTGCACCACGCGGCCCCACTGCCGATTGGCGGACTTCACATATCTTCGAAATATATATATTTTTTTTGTTATTATTTCGAAAATATGCAGGTTTCCTCACGATGTTCTCCTTTACCGCGGAGCACGTGATAAGTCAGCACTTAAAGTTAAAAACTTAATTGGTGACGGCACCGGGGATCGAACTCAGGTTGCTCGAGTATATTGAATTAAAGGCGAGCACCCGGACACTGAGCTATAACGGCTTTTAAATCGTATTAGTCCAAAAAGTCAACACTTACGTCCAGTTTCCAGGCAAATCAATTTTAAGTTACAATTAATCTCTTGTAATTATTGTTTAACATGATTTGAGTGCTAGAACGCTCGAAAACAACGTTTATTATGATTTGCAATTAATGACTGACAGACGGACGATCAACAGAAAAAAAGCGTTTTTCCTTGATAACGATTTGTCAAAATTTGGTGTGGGTATTTCGCTGATCAATCGTTGTTCACTTTCTTTTAAATTAAATCTCAGTTTTCATTAGAAAAATAAACTATATTCCAATGATACGTTGCAAGTTATGCTATTCATGTTTTATATTATTTGCAAACATGCTATTTCAAAAAGCTTAAACGTATTTTTTTTTTTAAATATAGTTTATAATAACACAAAATAAAACCAAACACATAACCGGTTTCGGCCCTCTGCGTTTAGAGTAATTCTATCTAATCATTATTTTAAACGGGAAGTAGAAGTCACCTACGAGCCATCACGGTACGGACCGCAACCCCCGTTGGCCGTTGACATAGTAAGATAATTTAAATTTGATATTATATTTTTAAAACCAAGGTAGTTTAACAAGAGACCAAAAGCTGATAATTTTTGACATAATGTTATGTGGTTGTCGCTTTGATTGATTTCGGAATGGCATGGGATTAATTGAACACAACATAAGAGATCATTGTGTTCAATTAAGTATTGAGGATAAGTTTCCAAATTCTTATATCAGATAGCGAAATGGCTATACATGGGCGAGTCTACCCTTTACAATTTCCCATCCAAGTCAAGTACTATATGATATCAATGATTACCGACTACTTTCATTATCAATTTAATGCTCTCGGACGTATAAAACACGTAGCGCAATGCTCTCTACGGACGTATAAAAGACCTAGCGCAGTTTCGATAGCATTCAGTAGCTATCGAGCAGTCTGACAAGAAGTGCAAGATGAGATTTCTGGTACGGTCACATTTTCAGTACACCTAAACTATTAACTGTAACTCTTTCAATTAACTGTAGTGAGGGAACGCGGAGCGGAGTTCAAAATTAGAATTTCCCGCGCATTACGAATACAAAGGATTTTCTTTGTGAAATCTCTACATTTTTTTAGTACACGATGTCATTCACGTATATCGAAATATGTCATATTCGTACATGACGTCAAACCTGATAATATCTTGACAATTTTTTGGAGAAACTATTTTAAACATAAACGGATTCTTCACGTTGATTTTAATTATAGTTCCCGACGTTTCAAACCCTATATAGCTTTCACGATCACGGGACAGATTGAGGCTTTGGAAATGTCATTGCTAGCCCGGGCTACAGTCAGTTTTTTTTTTGTTATTTGCAATTATTAATTTATGTACGATGTATTGTCGTGGTTTGTTTGGGCCCAGATTAAATTTTATTAATTATAGGAGTTGGGAAGGCTCAATCTCCGGGCGATCGTTTTTAATTACGTATGCTCGAGCAACCTGAGTTCAAATCTTGGTGCCGCTACCAATTAAATTGATAGTTGCAATTTTAATCGTTGACGTATCACGGGCTCTGATGTGAAGGAAAGCATCGTGGAATGCTAGATATTTTCGAAATCACAATTTAAAAAGAAAAGGACACAATGCATAATATGTATTAATTCGTCTATTCGCTGAAAGTCTAATCTAAAATTGCAGGGCAAAACTGCATGAAATTTAATTAACTTGATTCCACCAAAAATCGAATTTATTTGAAACCATAGATTCTATTTAACATTGACTATTAGTCAAGACACGGATAACCCTAAGACATGAAAACTTACACCATGCGAAGTATCAACCGAACCGTTAACTTCCACCAGATCGCTTTCGCCGCCGTCCTCGGCTACGCGTCCGCTGGGCTCATCGCCCCCCTGGTCTACGGTGCCAACGCCGGTGACGTCCAGGCCGCCGCCATCGACGCCACCGTCGCCGCCCAGGACACTGTACGCGAGCT